CGATTGTTTTTCAACAAGTATTTTTTGCCAACTAATTGGAGTGCAGGAGGTCTCATGCATGCAAAACATATCTATACATGATCACAGACATGCATAAACACAGATATGTGTTATTTAGGCTCAAACAACAGGTGTCAACAAGGTGAAAAACCACAACAAGGAGTTTAAAAAATAATTTTAAAAATCTGCTGTGTATCACTTGAAATGCACTAAAAAACAGCCGTTTTGACCAGAAGTCTTCCTGATGTAACTTCTGCCTTTGATTTCTGAAATGCAATTCTCTGGGAAAGTAAAAAAGAATAATTCCTCTTGGTGTAGGCAACACATCCTACTCAAAATGATGCAGAGACATGATGACAGGACAAATAAATTTAATAGAAAGATCTGTAGTAGAACACTGGGAGCAAACCTTTGCCTAGACACTTGCAATTGATGAGCAACTCCTTCCATTTTTGGAGCAGAGACATATAGTAATGATGATGATGATAATAATAAATGTGAAAGCCTTCTTGATTTCTCCTTTTCTTCCCTTTTCTCCCTCACTCTCGCACATGGGTAGGATGCTTAGAGTGATTTTAAGAGAGACCTTCTGCTCCCAGCAAACACTATGAACACATACTTTGCAGCCACAGTTGTCGAAGCAAGAGAGATGAGAAGGGGCAGTGATGATGGGAGGGAAGGCATGAAGCTGAGTTTGCACAAGAGGTTCAGCCATTGTGTCCATCAAATATTTCGGCTTGAGTCCAGCTCGCTAAACAGAGTGGTGTCATGGCAGTAAGATAAAGGCCTCCGTGCCAAAAGTTTCCATAAAGATTTCTATTCCTCTCTACCCTCTCTAGGTTATATTAAGGATGACCTGACCAGTTGCTGATTTATACATATTTCCTTATGTGTACTACAGAAACAACATAAAGCATGTGACTGATGAGACATTGGAGAGTGAGATAACCAGCTCTTTGAAACCCTTCAATATAAAACATCCACAGTGGGTGGTCACATAGCCAGGAACTTGACTATTAGCTCTTTGCCAAACAGCAGTGAGATAACAAATCTGAATATCTGAAATTATTTCCTCTCCAAATGATGTTGACACTACTGCAGAATATGAGGCTTATTTGCATGAATACAAATGAACTAGCCTGAATGCTGCATGGCAGAGCCATGAATCAGCAAGCTCAGCTCCATCAAGTGTTTATAGCATTGTGCTTACTGACTGTGAGACACCAACGGGCATCTTAAAAACATACTTAGATTTTATATTTATGAATCAAGGAAGGCTTTTGTGCTCTCCATTTTGTCCCAGACTCAGCACAGACTTATTACATGATGTGGCCATAATCATGCTAAGCCTGTTTGTTCTTGAGCACCAGGTGAAGTATGACATTACATACCAAATCTTTCCTTGAATATGTTACTTTCAGATATACCAGTAATTGTTTGATTTTTTTGTCAAGCAAATTCTGCATGATTACAATGGATTATTTTTTTTTAACATTATTAGGTTTACAAGTTCTAATGTATTATTAATTAAAACATAATTGTCTAGAATTTTCCACATTTATGGCTACACTATTTTCAAGAAAAAAACCTTCTCAACTGAAAGCATGATACAAAGGGAGTTTTATATTTGCACAGAAATTGTTTGATAGCAAAATATCCAAGGCTTCTCTTTGAACTCAATTATGCAAATTTAGTAAAATTAAACTAAACATCCTTAAAGATGACATAAAATCATAGTACTTGTGAAAGATTTAAAAATTTGTTTCCTCTTCCATTACCTTGGTCTTGGGCAGAATTTTTAAGTGTATTTAACTTATGGGCTCATTTCATGAATGCATTTACTCCTCAGTAGCCTTTCTTTAAATAGATTTGTCTGTTTCAATTCAAGGCGTGTGTTGTCTCTGTGAAATTCTACAGAAAAACTATGCAATCATCTTTGTTATTTTCTGGAGGATTTGAAAGGTGTAATCAAATTAGCTCAGCAGATTTAAAAATAATAATAGCTGTGAAACACACAGCATAAGCTGTGTTAATTGGAATAATATGTGCTTAAGATAAATCAGGTACTTTTTCCATGGAACTCAGTCTCTCAGGGAACTCAACAATGGATGGCTGTTGCATCCATTTCATATTTACACAATGACTAGAATAAATTTAAAATAATAATTGATTTTGATTATGCTCTAATTGAAGTTGTTATTCAGCACTACCTTTGATTTTCCTAATAAAACCATCTGGATATAATTTCTTCTTCAGATGTTTTTTGGCATTTCCCTCTGCTGTTCCATTTAAAAATTCTAATATACAATTGTATGGGTACATAATAAATTAAGAATATTGGTCTTCAAACTTTGTGTAGGTCTGCAAGAAGGTTTTGCCGAATTTTCCTGTACTGGTGTGTCCCAGCTAACCCAAAATGTTATTATATTCCATATCTATTTGTGCCCAAACTTGTTAGTGTTTCTTTGAAATCCTGTGGCCAGAAAAGGAACAGCAAGGTCAAGGTCTGTGCTGGTCCTTTTTTAAGGTTGGAGGCATTCAGGAAAAAGTGCTCTTTCTCTTTTATTCTTGCTGGGCAAGCTGAGGTAACAAAAGGCAGACAGCAGCTGCACCACCATGCCAAGAAAAATATAACAGCCCCCGCTCCATATGGTTGCCCCAGCCTGCCAGCAGTGCCTGGTCAGAGCAGAAAGGCATGGAATCCAAGTTGTCCAAGCCTGCTGCCCACTGTTTTTGCCAAAGAGAAAGCGAAGTCCCTCCATGAGTTCCAGCTGTTGACACAGTTCCAGCCTCCAGGGACTCTAGGTCTTCTTTCTGTTTTGCTCTTGTTCCCTGTTGGCTGATATTTGGGGAGAAAAAGGAGATTTTTAATTCCAGAAGTTTGGTTGCTGTGCTGTTTTTTTCTCTTTGTTCTCTCTCTCCACTCCAGGTTGTCTGTGGAGGGAGCCATCCTGGGGGTAAAAGCTGTCTGCCATCTTCCCTTTATCTTTCCACATAGTCATCCATGGAGAGTGCACCTTAGGGAAGGGTTTCTCTACTGTTTTTGCTTTCCTTTCTTTCTAGGGAGTCCATGAGGAACCCAGGAAACTCAGCAACATTATAACTACTGATTATCACCATTATTTTTTGCCTGTTCCTGTTTCACTTTTCAGTGACTGTTTTAAACTGTTATTTTTTCACTGACATCTTCTTGCATTCATCTCTCATTTGGTGAATGGGAAGTGGTTAAAACTAAAAGGGGAGGTAACTCATTTTGAAGTGTCTGCCACCTTTAATTGTCTTAAACCAAGATAAAGTGTTACTTTAATTTACTCTACAGGTGCAATCCTAGATGTTATACTGTTGTTGTTTGGTTCGATATTTCTGAAAAAGGAAAGGAAGTATGTGTACACAACATAATAAGCATCTTTGTCTGCCTATTATTATTATTGCACATTTATTGTGACTCCTTAGGGAAATCTATGTTTGGCTGAGAATGTAATCACGACCTTGAACAATGAGCCCATTTCTGGGATACTCTGGCAAAGAAAATTCATCTTTTCTTCTGTTTGCCTCACCTTTTACACAGCTATGACAGTGTAAGAAAATATAGAAAAAAGTATCTTTATCTGAATACAGAAAGACATGGTTTATTAAAATGAGAAAAAAAAGGTTTATTTTGAAGTAATTCTTGGTCTGGAAACAGCCTAACAGGGAAGGTGTTCATTCCAGCATGCATTTACAATCTTTCAGTCTATGCTATATTTTAAAGAATGAAAATTAGAGGTTAACCTTAAATGTTTTGTATTTCTTACAAGTATATTTTTATGTAAGTTTTAAAAAAGACTTCTATTTCATAAGTAGAAATGAAGAAGTCATTCAGAGTAGTATTCACAGTTAGAAACAGATAAAATATCCAAATATATGGAATTATTTAGATCTACACAATTCTTCATGGGCAACTTCAGGCAGAACAAAGTTTGGTAAAATGACATAAGAGATAATTGTAAAAATAATAGTTTGACTTGTATCAAATATGACTTCTATTATTTCCCAAAATAACATACCAAACTTTTTCTGTATTGTTATCAGAAAAAGCCTACCTCAGAAAATTAAATGCTATGTTTTCACTAGAGACTGGTGCTTATTTCACATACAGAACAATGTGCTGGTAAAATGAAATTCATCTGGGTTCTGTACAGTATCTTCTCATATTACTGCTATAATAATAATAATAACAGTGGAACAATAATGTTTGTAGGCAAGATCTATGGTCTTGGCAAGTTGTTCTGCATATTTATCCCCAGTTTGAGAACTTGAGATCTCAATGTGGAAATGGCTGAGTCCTTCTGGTACAGAAATTCTAGCTGAACGTCTCACAGTTGTCTTCCCTACATGAAATATGTCATTTAAACAAACACATACATGTGTTTAAATATAAAACTTTCTTGAGCAAGATCCCCTGCATCCTTGCAGTTCCATTAGTGACCCCTTCATTACAGTATTGTAAGTTCTCTGAGATCAGACATAAATGGTAAAAGAACCATGGGTATAAACCTTCCCTTGCCCCCAACTCCCTATTTAAATCATCAAACTTACATTAAGAAATCATGCAAAACAAAGCAAAACAGAAATGAAGAAAGAAGGAAACACAGTCAAAGGTTTTGCTTTAAAATTTCTTTGCAACTTAGATTTGATGAGTTGCCACTGATGTGCAAAGTAGCATTTCTCGGTCAATTTATTTCTAATTACATCACTACCTCAGAGCAGTTTTAAAAGACACTGAGGATGATGTATTCCAGTTGAAAATAAACACAGCAGATACTTCAGGTAAGACAGAGAATCAGGACACTACAAAAGAAAAATAAGATTTCCATTTTATGTGAAAGAAATTTTCTTCCTTCCTTCCAAGTCCTTTGTTTTTCCCCATGCTGAGCACCTGCATGTACTGGGCACAGTAAGGTACCCTAACATGTGCACGTGAAAGCAGGTCCTGGCAATGCACTTTGATGCCAACCTACCATTCTGATGCCATTCTCAAAGGCCTGACGTGCCAGAGAAGCAGGTCCATCCACAGTCTTGCCATCATCATCAGGCCCCCAGCTGGCGCTGTAGATGTGGATATGCTGGGGATTAAGGCTTAGAGACTTTGCTTCCACCATATCTGTCACATCTCCATCCAGCATCCGTACACCTTCAGAATGAAAAATACAGTGAACTGTACAAACTCAAAATGTTTCTTTCTCACCGCTCTCCCACCCAGAGGAAACGGTTGTCTGTGACACTGAACTGAATAATTATAATTCCTACTGTTATTAAAGGAAAAGAAACCCAGAACAACAAAATCTGGTTTGTTGGGGTGTTTTCCCAATACCTCTAGATAGAAAAAAATATAAAAAGGTATTAATATTTTCATCCTTCTTCAAGTATTAAAAATTATATAAAGTAATTTATCCACTATACACCTTTCAAACTTATACAACAAAGTTTAGGCTAAATAAAATTTAAAAAAATACTTGAACCTTGAAATTTTTTTATGTCACTTAAAGAAAACAATTTATTTTCTTTCTCCTTTCGTACTACAGTGAAACTGCAGCACCTTCCTTGAGTCATTTACAGTTTTAATCATGTTAGCAGATGTAATAAAAGGATCCCTACGGACAAGTAACCTTGGCATCATTCCTTCATTGTATGAGGCCACAAAGAAGAAATTGGTGAGAAGTCTCTTGTGTACAGAACAATTACCACACACTGTAGCACAGAAATTACAAGAGGTTATGAACAAATACGTAGCATTGTTCAACCTGAAATTACAATATGGTGAACATCCCTCTCTTGCAGAAGAAGATTTTATGAGGTATAATCTGAAATTCTTATGTTAAAATCATTCATGTGGGTTTGGACAAGTCAATGTGCCAGCACTCCATGATGTTTTAAGATTACTAGACTGAATATAGTATGCTGAAATCTGAAAACTGAGAAAATATGGAAGTTGGTTTTTTTTCTAACTGTAAAACTTTGTGGTTAAATCTGAGAAAACCACCAATGCCAGTTTTAACATAAACAAGAAAAAAGATCTACACACAGCTAGTGTGACATGTGACCAAAGGGAGGCTAAAAACTTTATAAAAATGTAATAAACTTGTATGATAGAGGGATGATCACTTCCACAATTTATAAGCTAGATGCTCTTTCCTGTTTAAAAGGCCAGTCCTATTTATAAGCCAAATTTGCATATTTTAAATTACAGACACATTGCATTTTGCTTATGAGCTCAGATTAAAGAAACTTGCGTGTTTATCAAGACTTCAACTTCCAATTAACAAGAGGCATAGGAGTGCTTTGTTGATTTTTTTCCTCCTTACTCTATTTGACTAAAAAATGAAAAGTGATTGTATTTCTCAGTTCACATAGAAATTGCCTGCATTTTATGAGATAATAAACTTCAACAAACTGTGATCTCACTATGAACTTTGCTTTATAAAAAAGAGTAATTAAAACAACTTTGGGATTCTAGGACTTAATTTTCTTCTGCATAATCACAGAAAATTAATGATGGGTGAAAGTTGTGTGCTCAGTTCCTTTAAAGCATATTAAAGTATCTCTCTAGTTCTGAAAAAAAGGTACACTGGTTTTTAAGGAAGAAAATAAAGCTTTCCTTTATCACATTGTTAGCAAGTCTAAATATTATATTCAACCAATGAATAATAACTCCAAATGCTGCCACTGGCACCTAAAGTAATTCACACTATTTTTTTTGGTAATGGTGAAGTGGTCTACTTTTAAAGCAACACAGGCAAGGCTGTGACTTAGGTGTTGTTCTCTGTAGCCAACAGACAAACATGCTTCAAAGCTGTTGGCCAAGGCCAACTATGAAGTTCAACCAGGCCAAGTGCCAAGTCCTGCACTTCAGTAAAAACAAGTCCATGCACCATAACAGGCTGGGGACACAGTGCCTGCAAAGCGGCCCAGGGATAAGGACCTGGGGGTGCTGGTTGACAGCCAGCTAAACACGAGCCATCACTTTGGCCAGGTGGCCAAGAAGGCCAATGGCATCCTCGCCTGTGTCAAGAATAGTGGCCAGCAAGACCAGGGAAGTCATTGTCCCCCTGAACTTGGCCCTGGTGAGGCTGCATCTGGAGTTCTATCACCAGTCTGGGCCCTGCACTTCTAGAAAGACACTGGTGTGCTGGAGGCTCAGGGGAGACCTTACTGCTCTCTACTATTGTCTGACAGGAGGTCACAGTGAGGCGGGGGTTGGCTTCTTCACCCAAGGCAACCAGTGACAGGATGAGAGGACATAGTCTCAAATTGCACCAGGGGAGGTTCAGGATGAACATCAGAAAGGATTTCTTCACTGAAAGTGTTGTTTAAGCAGTGGAGCGGATTGCTCAGAGAGGTGGTGGTATCACTGTCCCTGGAGGCATTCAAGAACATGGCACTTAGTGTTGTGGTCCAGTTTACAAGGTGGTGGTGATCAGTTGAAGGTCAGACTTGATGACTTTGGTCTTACCCAATCTAAATGACTCTGTAATTCTGTGCAAGATGACATTTAACAAGAGACATCTCATTGGATATTTGCAATGAAAATAGTGTTCCTTCCTGTCTTCCTATCCCACTCCCAATGTCTGCAGTGGTTAAGTCTACACATCCTCCAAAATGCATTTGGCATGTGGTGAGAGAACAACAAAAGCTATCCAAAATGCAATTAGCAGACTGTATTTTCAGACTGTTTCAAGACTTCAGAGCCCTATAAACTTTTTCTAACATTTACAGTAATTGCAAAATGTAAGTGGCTTTTTACTCGGAACAAATTTTCAATGAATAACAGGAAACATGCAAAACTAAGCTGAACGGAAGATTTCTTTTAAAATGCTTGTTTTTATTCAACATCTGATTTAAACTTAAAGAAACAGCTGAACTAATCCTCATCAACTGAAGACAATATACATCTGTTGTGCCATAATTTAGTGTAACTGTTTTCAGGACTTGAGCCCAGCCAAGTATCTAAGCACCCAAATCCCCACAGATGTTTTACAACTTCACAATCAGTTTGCAATAATAACAGCAAGCTAACTAACCCTTCCTATAAAAAGTCTCACAAGCTCTGTATGTGGTAATTTGTTTTGTGTAATTACTGCAGAGTTTAAAGCTAAAAAAAAAATAAAAAAAAAATCCATCCCTGTGGTGGACTGGTTTGTCTTTTAGTGAGAGGGACCTGTAGCTTAGCTACACAGAAACTGGCAAGATTTATTATAAGAGAATTGTCATAACCTGTAAAAAAACCTGAAGGCCTAGATTGCAATTCTACTAAAATTTTCTTTTCTACAGGTTACATCCCCACTTGCACCATTCTGAAAGAAGGCTCAGACTTACTAACAAACTTGGACATCAGAGGTTCTTAAGCATTTGGAAAAGAGACAAGGAGTACATACACTTTTAGAAGAAAATTAGCATTATTAATGGATATATTGATAACAATTTCCCATCAGAAAGATCATTAACTGGATTTATTAAACTGCCAGTATTTTATGGCATATTGATGGGGCAGTTTTTTCTTCTTCCCTTTTGCTTGATATCCTTAGTATCCCTTATGTGTCCAGAAATGCTTTCTGGTTTGAAGTAAAAGATACTTATCTTGGTGGAGCAAATCCAACATCATTGTCAGCAGGTGCTCCTCTATATAAGGAGAATGTAATTGCTTTACCTCAACTCTAGTTTCTTCTCCAAGAACACCCCAGGAGGGCCTTTAAATCCCTGGGAACAAGTGAGCTGAATACTACTTCAGCACGATATGATTCAAAAATTTTATATTTTATCTGGCCTGTAGAGAGGGAACACAACCACTGTATATTCATATGTGTAGCTGATGGCTGCTCTGAGGGAAAGGAACGAGGCATGCCAAGTAGAGGTCAGCAGCAGCAAGGCTCTTAAACATATTCAACTAGTGTAAGAGGAAGTTTAACCTACCTTCCTCTTAACTCTTGATTTTCTGCAGATCATCTGTTGAGCTTCCTGAAGTCTTATTTCCAAATGCTGCTCCTTTTAAAAGGTGGCACCTCAAGTGAGGTTTATACACTGTTACTAATTTCCAGCTTTCTTTTAAGAATAAATAATAAAAAGGCACTGGTATCTAGCCTTTACTGTTTCTATTACCTGCATATTGTGTCCATCGGAATCAGTTTTTACACTATATTTAGAAAAGACTGTGAGTCAGCTAATATGCCTGCAGGGTATTTATTACTATTGCATACTCCCATGCTTAATAACTAATAAACTATTAAGAAGCCACTGTTACTTTTGGAGAACTTTTCAAAGCCATATCAAAGCTGTCACAGGTTGTGTGACTGCTCCACTCAAAATGAAACTTTGCCAGAAGGCATCTCTTATTTCCATCAGTGCATTAACTCTCTTCTGACTATGGTTTGACAACTCAACATACCTCACAGCATAACTGCTGGAACACAGTTAAATGCCATGTTCACATGAGACAACCTGTTCTTCTGTCACAAACTCCCTCAGTTGACCAGTTCTGATTTTCTAAACTACTCTGACAGGGTAGCTTTCTGCAGGAAGGCTCTTCACCTGAGGGGAAATTTTTTTTCAGCATCACTGTAACCTTATCCTGGATCTGGTATTACCTACCCTAATTGTGTTTACCCAGCAGGAAAACAGAAAGCTGATGTGAGGATGATGTTGTGTGCTTTGGGTAATTTGAAATGCATCTGTGCTCACATTTGATTTGTATCAAACTCATACTGATCCAGCAGAGAATAGATGCAGTATTTTTAATAATGGAAACGTGGTCTCAATTCTGCCTGTTCATATTTTTGAACTGTCCTCTGGTGTACAAATAGCTAAGCATGTTTCTGTTTTCACAGATGGGCTCTAACCTTAAGGCTCTATTTCGAACGGCAACAATTAGTGAGCTTGAACTACAAACTCAGTCTTTCAGCTGAAAGCCAATATACCAATACCATGACTTTGTTGAAAGTTCTGAATAAACTTCACTAGAAATATTACAATCTGTCACAGGCACACTACATCCCAGGAGACATGCAGATGACCTCTTGATAATCATTGCCATAGACTAAGCTAAAGACATTAATTAAACAGACAATGATTAAGAATTCACAGAAAACACTTGAAACCTCTTGGCTGAATGAACAAAAATATGTGATCAAACACTGATTTTCAGGCAATAAACTTATAGGGACATACATAGGGATCAAAAGAAGATTTTCACCAACCACAGACAAACAAAAAAAATGTGTTATGTTTTGAGAGTATTTCATTTGCAATCAATATGCAAGGCAATATTACTGATGGGTACTTCTACTTACAATTTGTTGAAGTTCATCACTTAAGAGCTCTGAATCTGTGAGAAAACCCCAATGTCCTAATTCCAGGGTCATGTTTTCATCAAAAGTTTGACATTCTATTTTTTGATGTGTACTGGGAGGCAGTGCTCCAGAGAGCGCTGCAGAAGGGCTACCACAGACAAACTCCTTCAGTATTGATATTGAACAACCACTCTAAAGCTGAGCTTTACTAGTTAACATAGTGAGGCTTATTCATACAAATCTCCTTCTCTTGTTTAGAAAGGTCTGAATGCACCATTTAGCACAAATGGCTCTTTGGTTATTTTTTTTTTTTCTGTGGGGGATTGCTTCACATACCTCCAATCTTGGCATTAAAGGCGATTCCTACTGTGCAGTGTGAGTTGTTTGCTGTGGCTGCCACTTCTCCAGCACAACGAGTTCCATGCCTGCAGTCAGACAAACATTTTTCCAGGTAAGCACAAATCATTGGAATTAAAGGCTTTGATTTTGTTTATCCTCAGGTGCTAAAAGAACAGCTACCCATCATGTCTTGCACTATTTAACCCCTCACAGCAATTTATACCCATGTTACAATGTTCCTCTGAACATGTTTTTACATTACAACAATCAGTTTAAACTCTTTGTGCCCACTGGAAACACTCAGAGTTTGTAATAAAGACATACAGCAATGATACATAATTCAGAGCAACAGAAATGAGTCTTACTTAGATACTGGCTCTCAATTTTGAACAAAATCCTACATTTAAACAAAACGTTTCTCCAGAATACTCTAACAACCACTCCTACTGCTAGTATGTGTATGTCCATCCAACCTCCAGCAAGCACAGTATGCCATGAGGAAGATGAGGTTGCACAAATGCCCACACTGCTGTTTAGAGGTGAGGCTAAGACTGTATGCCAGGTATGCTCAAAGCTTAGGCACGTCTTGGTCCTGCCTTGGGCCCATGCTGCAGGCCTGCTTGCCTTTCTGGGGGCAGTAAAAATGTCAGAAGCACCCTCCACATCAGAGATATGCTCTGTGCCTGGAAGCAGAGCTGAGCTGTAAGTATTCAATTTGAAGAAGATGCTGAAGGAAAACACAAAATGTCCAGTGGTTGCTCACCCCCCTCCCCACTGTGCAAAGCCACAGTGGGATGCTTTGTCTAGCCCTCATCTATGTGCTCTACAAGGCGACAGTGGCCATCCATATTGTCCCCATGACAGGAAAGCTGCCCCTATGTTTTTTGTTTTTTGCCTTTAACATGGGTTTCACAGGGTGTATTCTACTAACAAATCATGCCCTCACCCTTGTGCAGTTAAGCAGCTCCATTGCAGAAATGGGACACAAGCAAGATGGAGCAGGCAGGGAACTTTAGAGAGGTGTTATGAAGGGGAGATACAGTTTCAGACCAGACAGGAAAAGAGATAGGGAGTTGATAAGACATAGACAGAAAGATAATATAAGGCTTGGGTAGCCAAAAAAAAAGAAGTTTAAGTCGAAGGGAGAAATAAAAAACTACACAACAAGCATTTCAGAGGAGGCTAGCTGAGATTAGTTGTGTACACAGACACTTTTCCTGGTGGTGGTTGAGAGACTTGCTTGCACACACATCTGGAGAACACAGCTGCTTTTTAATGAAAGTTGAGGCAAATTACAGACAAGAATCACTGCTGCATTCCCTTGGTACAGCTTGTTTTGGGAAGAGTCATTCCTTATTTCATTATTATTAGAGTAATTTTTCCCCCTTACCCTTTCAAGACACTTAGATGTGAGATAGTAAGATGATTTGTTTGGAATGGATTAATGTTCAACAAGAACAACAACAAGTAGGACTTGGAAAAATAAGAGAAAAAACAAAAAATAAAAATAAGCAATATAAATGATCAACGCTAAACTACTAAAATGTCACAGAATATAATTCAGTTTATTTGACAAGTAAGATGTACATAATCTGTAAGAAAAGTGTAACCTCTATTCACAAAATCAAACTGACAAGTTGGAAACTGATTCATTCTAAAGCTGTATCAAGATTTCACTATTATATTACCTCAACAAATTTCCTATTGATCTTTCACAATTCATTATTTGGTTGCCAAACTTGACCAGGGAACTTTTCAATAACTTCACAAAATTTTATTTTTCGTATGAAGACTTATTTTAAATCCTAACTCTTCTTCATTTGAAAAAAGCCTGTTTGATTATAATTGGTAAATAAATAGTCTTACCCATTTACAGAATTATTTTGAAAAGTCAGAAGTAAATAATTCAAAAATCACAGATGAAAACAAGTTTTGAAAAGATCCTTCAAGTATTTTCAGATAGTCTTCTAGCTCTGTGTTTGAAGTAATGTTTTTTAAAAAGGTCTTATTATTTAAATGGAAAGATCTGTCTTAAAAAGTTTTACATTATATCCAAACATCCCTTCTTTTCATTATGATTTTGTTAGGTGTCACATGCAACTTTTCAGGTGTTATCACTCAAACATCAAAGCACATACAACTATACTCTAGAAAATGTTGACATACCTGCAGACATCAGCTTAGTACATATAATTTATTAATAAATCATTCCCTGCCTGGTGAAAGGCATGTGGCTAAACTGCAGCTTTCCAGGTGGAGACTGCATTGCCAAGAAATCCCTCATGGGTACCAAGCTTGGGAAAAAGTGATGGGAGGAAGGTCTTTCAGTTGAGAAAATGAATGGATAGAAGCCACACCTGATGGAGGGAGGCTGCCTGGAGAAGAATGGAACAAACAGCTCAAATTTCTCCTTGGCTCCAAAGGGAGTGTATGGATACCTGCTACTTTGGTAGCTACATCCAACAGGCCCTGTCAAAAAGATTAGATTTCCACTGTATCATAAAACATGCTGGTTACCCCAGGGCCAAGTAATGTGTGCAACATTATTTCTGCTCACACCTCTTGGGATGCCCTTTTTCTCAGAGGGGGAAACTTCTTGTGCATAAAAACAATGCATTAGTACTAAGAAATAAAAACCCAATGCAGCCATTATTATAAATTAGAGCAGAATCCCAGGGATGTAAGCTGTAACGTGAAATAAACTATGTGGTTGTTGGAGATTAAAAATTATAGGAACAAAGGAACTTTGAATGTTTTAACAATTTTCAATCATATGGAAAGAAAAAGAACGGAAATTTGGGTAGCTATTGGTATTCGCAGGAAAGTAATCAGACAATGTGAGTTAAAATTTATTTTTCGCAAAACTCTTCTTTAGTTAAACTTTCAAATGTTTTCAAAGTTGTCTCTTAAACTGCAATATAATCTTCAACAGGAAATGTGGTATCTGAAGGGTTACAATGTAATAACAGCTGGAGAAAAAACATATTTTAACAGCAATCATCAGAAATGCATGCACTTTATTGAATCCCAGACTAATGTCTTATATAGCACTGAAAAAATATTATTTTAAAGCTGTTCATATATATGTTCATATATATGTTCTCTAATAATCTGGAGGGTGGAAAACACTTTCCAAATTAACACTAGCTTGGAATGCTATTCTTATCTGAATAAGGACATAAAAAGGAACTGTCACACGTTAAAAGCATAGGCAAGCAAAATATCAATCTTTTGCCTTTAAAACATAATCTGCTACAGCTGAAAAATAGCAACAATAAAGCTACTTCCCAAAGGAGAGATATTTGGATATTAACAGTGGAGAAAGATGACAGAGTAAATATGAAAAACAAGTTACACAAATCTTCAGCGTGACATATCAAGAAAAATGCCAAAGACCTGGGTGTCATCACAGGCTGGATACTATTTCTCAGCATCACGGTGTTGTAATGTGGTTACAGCACAGGACTGGAAGATCTCCAGTCAACGTCCCCAGGGCTAATGACTTTTTGCATGATTATGGGAAGCTGATTTTAGAACAACTTGAAAATATCTCATTTATTTCTCACAAAATCAAAGATGACAGCATTAAAACAAACACATGGAACACTTCACACATCAGACACGCAAATTTTGAACTTAACAGCATGGATAACAGCAATGCTGACTTGCCACTCTCTTAGCATTTGTTAGCTATTAGCAGTTAATTTGTCACAAGTGTGAAGTTCTGATACAAGCCTAGGAAAGGAATATGCCTCTACAATTTAATTAGCATTTTACAGTTTTGTTTTAGTGAGTGGGAAAATTTACTGAACATATAAAACAAATATGCCTTTTTTCTTTATTTTCAAAACAAAGAATGAATAGACGGTCTGATGGAGCAAATGAAATAAGATGTAGAATAAAAAGTATCTAACAAAATCAACAAATAATATATTTAGCCAAGTATATAGTTTAATGTATTGAAAATAAAATTTTTTTACTGATGTCTTAATATGCTTTAATCAATGGGAAAATTTTAATTCAGCCTCTTTTCTGGGAGGAAAAGAAACATTGGTGAGAATAAATAAAACAGATAAAAATAAATAAAACAGTTCAATCACCATCAATAAAACAGCAAAACTTTCAGCTGAGCTTTTTCCCTCATACTGCCTTTCATGCTAACTGTACAGTAACGTTCTTAAGGTGGGCAATCCAACTCTTCCTCTTAAGTCACTGAAGCAAATCGCAAATAAAGCCTGTACAGATTAGGTCCTGTGCTCTGGAATTAAACCTGTTCAGCAGTAACATCAAGGCTAGTACCTTAGGAGGCTATATGACTACCTAGACATACCTAATGAAAAGCACTACTTTGTCTGCTTTTGAAACTGAACCATATGAGGCTGCTTAGGCTTCAAGACTCCCCTGCTACATAAGCAAAATGCTCTTTTCCTAAACAAATGCAGGCTGGTTGAGAGGCTGTATAAAGGGTAGAAAATCCTAGAACAAGGAGGTTACAAGCAATTCTGGCAGTCTCTTTTTGTACAGCCTAAAGAACAGAGAAAAGGCAGCTCAGGGAACACCTTATCACTCCCTACAACTCCCTGAATGGAAGGTAGCCGGGGTGTAGTCTCTTCCCCCAGGCAACAGCAACAGGACAAGACAACACAGTATTAAGATGCACCAGGAAGAGTTTAGGCTGGACATTAGGAAGAATTTCGTCACAGAGGGAGTGATGGGGCATTGGGATGGGCTGCCCAGGGAGGTGGTGGAGTCATTGTCCCTGGCAGTGTTTAAGAAAAGACTGGATAATGGCACTCAGTGCTGTGGTCTGATTGACAGGGTGGTGATAAGATCATAGGTTGGACTCAATGATCTTTTCCAGTTTACTTAATCCTGTGATTCTGTAGCACAAGCACTTGGGAAGTTGGGAACCAACTACACTTTTCTCATTATTAATCTCTGAGATTTAGATAGCTTTATCACTTTGCTAATACAGAAAAAAAGGACAAACAAAAGCCCAAGTTCAAATCTTGCCAGCAAAATGGTAAGGGGAACAACTACATTATGCATCTTAATGAGGGAGAATGGACAAAATCAGGAATATGTT